TATAGTCTGAAAATTACGCAAACTAAGATCTGATTTTAACAGGAGAAACAAGTAGAACGCTAGAGAAGAGCTTCAAAAGCAGTTCCATGTAAAGAAACATGAACTTTTGGAATGTATTTTCTATCTTTTGTTCCCCATTCAATAATTATTACATTTGTTTCACACAGGAAAACTATCAACAAACGTGGATTCAGCCCTGCGTATTTCACACTCAACAATAAACTCATGGTCAGAAAAATCTTCGTCTTTTTTGCGTTAGCTAGCTACACGCTAGCCTAAGGAGCAGAGCGACTTGAAGACAAACACAAACCACCAGGTTTACACAGATTTTGACGTCCTCATGGCGAAGTTGCAGCTGTCACACGTGGTGCATTCAGGTACCACCAGAAACCTGAGAATCCGATGATTATGGCAGTTCACATGTTTTACAGTTCAGGATAGTAAGAAAAAAATAAAAAATAAAATAAAAGATATTAGGTTATTTTATTTTTCCTTGTAGCAGATACCGGTTCACAAGCCTAGAGTGCCCTCTAGCAGCTGTCAGTGTGAAAATAACAAACATGGGAAATTATATATTTTAATATATAAGTTGCACCTGAGTACAAGTTGCAAACCCAGCCAAAGGTTGAAAAAAGGTGCGACTCATAGTCCAGAAAATACGGTAATGACCAGGCTTTAGTGATCTACCTACATTGAAAATGTGAAATATATATTTACTAAAAATACTTTATATATATACGTTATATGTTTGAGTATTGTGTAGAAACTAAAAATATTTTATATATACGTTATATGTTTGAGTATTGATTAAATACACATAGCTTTATGGTACAATGTAATTCAAATACATACAGTATATGGTCACTACTACACACTGTAGAATTATATTTATATATGTGTTAGTTTAATTGCTCTTGATCTACCAGAGCTCCCATCTCGATCTACTTATTGGGCACCCCATTCTTGCACGTTTAGATAGTAGTGGTGCCCGGATGATTCATCGACAATACGTAATTTAACCAGTAGAGGTTGCTACATGGTACATAATGAACCTTGAAAAGTAGTTGGGCTGTTTCATTAGGTTGTTCAATCAGGCAGACACGGCAGTAATGCAGGAAATATTTTTTTGTCATACGGTATAAGATCATACTTATGTAGCTAAAGTAAAACACTGTACCTGTCTTATTGTGTAAAAGCAATAGGGTGAACTCAAACACAAGTATGAAAAAGCAATAGGGTGAACTCAAACACAAATGTTGGTATTTGGTCTTATCCCCTATTCCAGGAGTGGGCAAACTTTTTGACTCATGGGGCAAAATCCATCCTAACATTTGACAGGAGGTCAGGAGCAGATAGATGGAGCGCTGGTGTGAACTAAAATATGTAAAAGACATGCATAAAGGGCTAAAATGCTAAATGCTTTTAGCCTTTTCTATGCTATCTACAGGAAAAAACGTGGGCATCGCAGGGAAAAGACAGAAGTATAATCACATTAGAACCAATTCTATAATTTGGACAAGTTGGGCGGGCCGGATTACAAAGCTGAACGGGCCGCATCCGGTCCCCGGACCTTAGTTTTCCCATGCCTGCCCTGTTCCATTAGGATGTATTGATGCGATACAAACGTGACAGCAGTCTTCTCATGTCAGAAGCCCCATACAAACACAAACTAGAAATATGTATAGCTAGCATCTGTAACATCTGCCTTTGATTGTTTTTTACTACCCTCTTACTCTGGGAGTCTCCTGGAATCACAGATCATATCAAGCGCCGCGTCTGCGTCTGCGTCTGTTATTTTGTGACATTGCTATGGCACCACGAATCTTTGGCAGGATATGCTTGTGCGTTGCTTCGTCACATCTTTCCCCATATGAGCCCCGTGTGCGCACATGTTGGGTCACTGTGTGTCGGCATTTCTGAGAATGTGACTGCATAGCAGCATGCGCTGTGTGTTTCCACAGACGTGTGAAAACAGTGTGAGTGTTTGTGCAGCAGCTCTGCCTCCCCCACTCCCAACCTCCCTACCCTTCATCCCCCTAAAGTGAAAGCCTGTGGCTTAGACTCAAACCACATCAGAGCATGTGTGGGAGACAGAATGACAAGACAAGGAACCAGCTAGCGTCTGCCTGGAACCACCCACAGACACAGACATATGCTCACATACTCACACTCACACACTCACACGCTTTTTTTTTTTTTTTTTTTTACCACTGGCCATACACAAATGGCCTTTCCTCATAACACACGTATGGAAGTAAACACACGCACATGAATGCATGCCCACACACACACACACAAAATAAACACCAAGAGTCATTACCCTATATCCCATCCAGTGGTTCCAGATCAGACCAATGCAGGAGCTGAAAGCTAAATCTGGTGTTTGTGGTTGTATAATTTATTAAAAATAAAAACGAGAGAGAAAGGAAAATACTTGACATGCTATGTTGATAACACATAAACAGCAGCATGAACATCCCTTGTACATACATTGAATGTAGGGCTTCTGGTTAAATGCATTTAGCTCTATGAAACAAAACGATTCAATTCTCACAGTTGATAGTGAATACTATACTAATGTATTATATTTATATTCATATTTTCTTTTTTTTTTAAATTGCTCACGAGCTCCCAGCTCTCTCATTGCGCTCTACTGGTAGATCCCAATGGATTTTTACATAAGACAACAATGGTGGGCCACATAAAATGACATGACAAGTCCTTATTCGGCCTGAAGGCCATGGATTGCAAGCCAGATATTCATTCATTTTCTTGTTTCTGTATTATATAGAATGGTTACAGAAAACATGGTAAAGGTAAAAAAAAAAAAGTATGTTATTTTTTGCCATCAGCTGTTGCGCAGCACCCACAGTCAGTTCTCTGTTTATCATATTTGCAGAGTAAACAAAGTATCTACATATTCATATGAAACATCTGAGGCCCAAGGTTCTTCTGACCGTGAATGTTTTTAGGTACAAGCAACATGGGCAGCTTCCCATGAAGGCAGTGCCATCAAGATTAGATTAGATTGGATTAGATTAGATTAGATTAGATTAGATTAGATTAGATTAGATTAGATTAGATTAGATTAGATTAGATTAGATTAGATTAGATTAGATTAGATTAGATTAGATTAGATTAGATTAGATTAGATTAGATTAGATTAGATTAGATTAGATTAGATTAGATTAGATTAGATTAGATCAGAGCAGATCAGATCAGATCAGATCAGATTAGAATACATTAGGTTACATTACATTAGATTAGATTGTATTGGATTAGATTATTAAATTTGATTGTGTTAGATTGGATTAGATTGGATTAAATTAGATTGAAATAGATTAGATTGGATTAGATTGGATTGGATTAGATTGGATTGGATTGGATTGGATTGGATTGGATTGGATTGGATCAGATCAGATTAAATTAGATTGGATTGGATCGGATTAGATTAGATCAGATTAAATTTAGATTAAATTGGATTGGATTGGATTATTTTAGATTAGAATAGATTAGATTAGATTAGATCAATTTAGATTAGATTAAATTTAGTTTTAGATTTAGATTTAGATTTAGATTTAGATTTAGATTAGATTAGATTAGATCAATTTAGATTAGATTAAATTCAGTTTTAGATTTAGATTTAGATTTAGATTTAGATTTAGATTAGATTAGATTAGATTAGATTAGATTAGATTACAATGAAATCATTAAGAGCAACTTCTGTAAGGTAAAAGGCATTTGGACGATTTGACTTAAATGATTTACTAAAGGTCTCCTAGGAGCCTGCAATGCACACAATAGTTTAATTGATAATCCAAGGACCCTTAGGAAGTAGACCTCTCACTTGTATTTTGGTCACCTATACGCACATTTAGTAGTAGTGGCTGGATGAATGAGTCACTGGAATAAGCCCAAGGCCAAGAGACACTCATGCAGTCACAATGGAAAGTGTGAAGAAAGTTCCTTCGCTTTGCGCAGCATTATGCTGCCACCGTGTGGCCAGCAAAATAATGACGAGGGGTAGTAGAAACAGTGTAGTTAAAGCATATTACAAAAACTAAGGTTATTACATAACACTTAGCATACATACAACACAGTATCAACAGTACTTTAATTGTTTTATTTATTTATTTTTCATTATTATCATTATTATTATACATAGCCCTGCAATGAACTGACGTGTTTAAAAAACACAGAAAACAAATGAATGAAAAATGAAAAAAAAAGAACTGTTACTGAGGCTTTATTGATCATGTATGTGTGACCGTAAATGAGCAAAATTTTTCACTGTGTAACAATTAGTGTGAGAAAAAAAAAAGTTCTTGTGGTGAACATTGTAGTATTATACACAGTTAATACTAAACAAAAACTACTTTTTCTAAAATAACTGGGATTTTCGTATCCTTAGTATTTTTTGTATTTGCTATCGAAAAACAAAAACTTAACGTGGTCCTCCAATAAAATGACGGTGGCAGCAGATGCCCTCAGCTCACTGAAGTTTGAAACCCCTTCTGTATGGGAATACGTTGTTTACGTTTGCTATTTACACGCGTCACCGGTGACGAAACATCCTGTCCACAACGGTCGGGCGGAGCAATGGGAAGTGAAGTCTTCTCGCTCCTCATTCAGCAAACGCCTTTAAGTTAGCGTAGCTCAGCAGAGAACATATTCTTACGTAGTTGGCGTACGGGCTTTCTGTTCGAACTTTGCCCCGAGGAGGTTCCGCTCGCTTCCTGGACAGTTGGGGGGTAAACCTACACGGTCTCTTGTGGTAGAAACATGGCGGTTTCTATATAAGGCTTTTTCATGACCCATAATTGTTTACGAATGATGTGCGAACGTGGTAACAGCAAAAACGACAGCCCACAAATACAGACACGGCGGCTGAGGTACTACAAACCTGGAGGAAGTGGACGTCTTCCCATGGCTGTGAAAAGTTAACGTTGGCACAACTTAAATCTCCAAAAACTCCCTCCCCGGCTAAGCTGAGGTAAGACTGTCCGCTGGTGTGAGTGAGCTTCAGGAGAGAAATGTCTACATGGATATTAACGTCTTTGTCTAACTGGGAGTGTGTCCTATCTTCGGCGGTTATGATGTTGATTACTGAAACGATCGGTGTTAGGGCACACAGGTGTACAGTTATCGAACGTCCCACATTGTATTCTTTAATGTTGCCTTTATCTGGTCTTTCTACTATTGTGGACCGTCCACTTCCAAGTCTACCGTGTAGCTGTGTTGCAAAGTGTAAGAATATATCCGATGTACAGCGAGACGTTTGGCACTAACGTCATAGCTCCTGTCACATGTTACACGTCACATGTTTTTTTTTACCAGTCTTGCTCTACATACCTGTAAGTTGACTTCTGAAATGTTTGTCTGAGTGACAGGACGTCCTGTGGATCCAGTGCTTATAAAATCCGTCATGCTACAGCGCATAGACATAGAGCCGGTCGTCCATTGCTATAAAGACTTGTCTTTCACTCCTTTGCTCCTATCACTTTTCACAAAGGCACTCAAAAGTCGACGTATAAAATATACATAACGAAATATACATAACATTATGTCGTTTGACATTGGCAGTGACAGCTTTAATGAGTATGAAAAATGCCCATCCTTGTGTACGAACCTAATTCTACCAGAGGGACAATAAGGGTTGAGCAGTTTGTGTACATTTAGAGAGACAAGGTTAAGATGGTTTGGACATGTGTGGGGGAAGAAATTTCAAATATATTGGACAAATGATGGTGGTGGAGTTTGAGCTGCCGAGCGAGTAAAAAAAAAGAAAGAAAAGAGGACATGGAGGTGGTTGGTGTAACAGTAGAGGAGGGAGTAAGATAATGTAAGATGAAGGCGAGTGTAATCCATTTTACTGGAGAAAAGCCATGAGAATGACTAATACCTGTGAAATAAACACAGTAAGCTTCTGTTGTGATTTACTTTTGTTTTCCTTTTTTTTTTTTTTGCCATTTTCTCTAGTCTGCGTGTCCAGTAAATAGGGGAACTTTACTAGCGTGACGGTTGTTATACAGTACATTTTGAGTAAGCTACATTGACAATATTTGGAGTGCAATTTGCACAACAACATTTTAAATACTACAGATCCTGTTAGTTAGTTTACTTTGACCAAAAAGTGAGCTTTTGAGACTGGTCGTTGTCTAGACTTCGGTAGTTGCGTTTGTTAACATGATAAAGGCAGAGAGACAAAAAATAGGAAACAGTTTAGCAGCTAATATGAAGAGGCTGAGTGAGAAGAGGAACTGAAAATTCTCATATCCTTTGTGACGGCTACGTGACTTTACCGCAAGTGTTGAAATCGTGTTTGGTTTTTTACCCTCCACTAATAACCTTTTACTATATAATTAATCGAGGGAAATTAAACCATGCCAACTGTCCAATGTCTGTTTGATTACTATATCAGGTAAGGTTCTTATAATGAAGGTTAAACATTTGTTAGATCTTGAATCACCTTCACTGAGTCCAAAGTTACCATGTTTTTTTTAGGTAATGTCAGCATTGGGTCTAGTTGGTTTGATGTGCTAATTTTGTTTTATATTAGAATTCATCTTTCAGTGAATAGATTATGCAGTGATTATTACAGCAGAAGGTTTCATGGCTGTTCAGTAGATTCTTGGATATTTCGAGATTTACTAAGCTGCTCAGAATTTGTATTTTGTAATTAAAACATCTGATCGGAAGTCAGCTGCTGAAAATGGCCAGTTATTTTTTATTTTTTTATTTTACATTTCTTGTCTTACGTGGTGATGGACATAGCTTTTTTTTTACTTGCAGATGTCTAAGATTATTCTCTGGATATTAAAAAAAAAAACATTCAGGTTTTTGATGATGCTCAAGAACTCTGCTCGAGAAGATTTTCGACGAGAGCTCCGGTCGTGGGGCACGTCTCTGCGCAGGCGTCTTATACGCATGCGCCTTGCTGACACACCAGCAATCCCTGTGAGGTGGAGATTGCATCCTGGCCACTGTACCCAGGCTCAAAGATAGGAAGATTTGAATCCCCGAGAGGGATAAATCAGTCGGAAATACGGGATACCGAGAATAATCGGGTTGAATGAAACGTTTGATGAGTGACGTATGGGATGGACTCTTTGCTTGTTTCAGCGGCTTGACATTTAAAACGACGGCGGGACCGGGGGGCGAAGATGCCTCCTAATGGAAGACAACAGGGTTTGACATCTGCTGGGCTCAGCGTAGGCAGCAGCAGGGCCAAATGAGCAGCGAAGTATTAGACGTTTCAGGCAGAGTTGTCCTTCGTGGATGATCGCCTCTTCGGTAATTTCTTTTCATCCTAACCGCGCGTGTCGTGTCCTGTGGAGTGACCTGGCCTCTGCCGCTGTGACGTCTTGCTGTGGTTTACGGCGTGGATTAAGGTTCACACTTGTGCGTTAATGGTTTGGCATTAATTGTGGTAAATCAGTTACCTACCGGTGGAGAATTAAATGCGCGTAAATACCGCAGGGCTTTGTACTGCGACCGTTAAGACGTAGTCATCGATACTAGTTAAATGAATGACATGTTTTTGACAGGAACCACAGATGATTGTTAAAAACAAGTCCCTTTTTTTTTTATTCATTCATTTATTAATATCATGTCACTAAAACAGCATCATTTCTAATGTCTCATATTTTCTGATAAAATAATTACCTACTCCTAAAGACATGCTTCAAAGTCAGCTATATTGTTTAAATTAAACAAAAAACAAAAAACAGGTTAAGTACCACCGGCTGATGTATTTTCTTTTTTCTAATGTTAAAATTTAAACTCTGCAAATATGAGGAATATCCTTTTAAAAAATGGAGAAGTGAAAATTGCCACTACGATGTCCTGCTGCTAAACTGCCACAGCTTTTTAATCACATTCATATCACATGCGCAAGTTTGCCAAGAGCCTTTCAAGGGAATGCGTTGCGCTCCACTGCTTTCATAACAGAAGATATATGTCCTGCACAATGTTCTGTGTATCAGTATCTGTGTTTGTGGACATCGAAATCCCAGACATTCCCTGCACTCTTGCCTCCCGAAGTCTTTCTTTTCTTAATGTGAAATGCGGTTGAGATGCTTTTAGGATGATTTTCGGAAACAGGATTCTTCTGTACAAGTGCACCGCTGCTTTTGATGGACTTCTGAGCATGTTGGAAGAAAAAAGGGACTCGGGCGAGGCAAGGCACTGCGAGGGCTTCTGTCCATGGAATTATCATCAGGAATAATATGTGGCTTTCGCAAAGATTCAGTGCTGACAAGATGCATCGCACTCGGGAACTTTGAATCCTCAAAAGTAGGTGCTGAAGCAGACACGTGCAAAGAGGAGGTTTGCAGCAGATATATAGATCCTGCTCTTGAGGCAAACAACACAAGCAGATTTATCTATCATAACGTAACCAGATACTGTGATGGGAAGCTCAGCCTCATCTCTGAATGCACAGACTGACTCGGACCATGGCTTCCGCAGTGGCACGTACTCAACATCACACAATGTGGGATGGCTCAGGAACAGCCACAGCAGCCCTGTGTGGGGCAGCACCTTCATCACACGTCAGCAGCATCAGCATCTGCCCCGCCCACATCGAGAGCGCAGGTAAGGTCAAGCGCGGTTCTCGTCTCTGTGAGGATGGCAGGGACGGCGCCACTGCGACGGTGTTCGGGAAGGTCATATAGTGATACACAACGTTGGATTGTATTACATACGGATTGGATCGTGTTACATATATGAATGTAGAAGGTGCACGTGGTGTGCATATCCCAGTCGTGTTTCTCAGAAATAGGCAGGAAGTGCCAGTAGGTATTATTTTAATTTTACTTTTTTTTGTTTCCATTTCAATAACTTGTAGTCACAACAACTTCTTACTGTTGCCTTTGGGAATGTTACCCCAGCACTGCATCTATAAGATTATGGATGCAATAATGCGATAATGAAATCAAGTCACGTAAATGTTATGTTTGTCAATTGCAGGTCCTAGCACAGGGTAATAGCTTAATGTTGGTTTATCTTGTTAGTTGCCAGACTGTTCATTAGTCCTTGAAGAGAAATAACATTACTGGTGGCGGATCGATCCTGAAATATCGATACTTCCGATTCTGGATCTTTATGCTCTGAAATCGATTCTGAAATCAAAATATCG